TTGACACGGGCACTACGGAAAACACTGCTGAGATTGTTCACACTAATGTTATTTAGCAGCAATATTTCCGTAATAAAAGAAATCAATGGGCAAGAGAAAAGACCTGTCCAGAGCTTTGATTTTCTCATTTTAATGGCATACTTATTTACTCCCACCAGCGTGCCCATTGGATTTTCATTACGTGGCCTTCGCTGTAAGTGGAGCCGTATTGATACGAGCTGCTGAGTTAGCGCCTTCCCATGTGGGCCGGCATGGGATTGCTTGTGTTCTGTGACAGGGCCCTGCTAAACCCCCGGGAATGGGCATGGCATGGGGACAGGCTGGACTTGCAGCCCACGGGAACACACGCGCGTGTGCACACGGCCTGCCCACGTGCATGTATGCACACACACGGTCTGCCCATGGGCACACAGGTGTGCACACACACCTACCTGTTTGTGCTGCCGATCTGTACACCACGGGCTGTGCGTGCACACACTTGTCTCACCCGCACAGGCACACACACATGCACGACTCTTCTGCCTACACCAATTGCTCTGACCGTATGGACAGATGCCCAACTGTTCTACCTACATAAACATGTGCACACGTGGGCAAGCCCCACCTGTTCTGTGTACACCCACCTGCAAACTCTTGTACCTATATGCATGCCCAACACCTATGCATGCCTAAATGCCCTGCCGAGACACACACAAAACCACCCTCCTTGCACCTACACACACACGTGCATGCAACTTGTCTGCCAGTGTGTGTACACGCACACATGCACGCACACAGCCTACATACTCTGTTTCCCTCCTGTGCCCTTCTCATACCGAAGGGTGCAGCTGTATGTGCCTGTGTAAACCTCTCAGAACCACCAAGCTGCTATGTCTAGGTCCATTCACCCTCAGGGCCACATGCCCAGCATTGGCACTGTCCCCCAAAAGGATGGAGGCCCCCCCCGTCTGGACTCGGGTTTCCCATGGAAGCAGGGCCCTGGCACCAGCTCAGTCTTTTCATCCCCAGTGACTGCAGTGGAAAGAGGAGTAACAGCACCATCTCCCGCTGGTCCCTGGGAGCTGAGTGAGTAGGGGCTGATCCTGCCAAACACTGCACTCCCCAGCTCCCATGACCCTGGGCAGGATGATGCTGGCTTCCCCAGGGACACCCAGCTGTCAGCAGGACCCCTGCTGAGCCTGGAGCTGGCCAGATCCAGCACCGTTCCCCGTGGCAGGGACTCAGCACACTCCAGAAACAATCCTGGGGACCTGAGTGGGTGGGATGAACAATTTTATTACTGGTATCTCTTGTCACGTGGCAAATTAAGAAGTAGCCCATGTGTGGGGCTGCCAGTCAGCAGGATGGGGACAGTCCAGGGAGCAGGAGCGACATGCTACAGACCTGGTGGCCAGCGACACACACATTAGTTTGGCAGAAGTGCTGAGGTGAAAGCCCTCCCACCGAGCAGTGAGCCCAAACTGGTCTGGCCATGGGGCTGCAAGCAAGATCCGGAGCTGGGCTCAGTCGGGGGACCACAGCACTGCCTCAGCAGCAGGGACCCTGCGCTGGGAGCCGAGTAGGGTGGCTGTCCCCAAGGGGTCTCACAGCCAAGGGAAGCGTTTCGAGGGGCGAGATCCCATCCTGAGCTAGTAGAGAGGTTTGGGCACCTGCAGACACTAGGTATGTGCATAGCCCAGAGGCCACGCAGAACAGGCTCTCCGTTAAGGCGACAGACGGTGGCTCTCCCCCTTGGGGGGGACTGCAGGGAAGGGACTGTGGGAAAGGGACCCTCTTCCAGCCCTGGTTGTCTCCTAGGGCAGATGACCCACAGGGGACCAGGAGGGACCTTCAGCACAGTGGCTGGGCATCTCCTCACTGCCAGGGGGTTCCTGCGCAGATCCTGACCCATGCCAGGGTGACACTGTGTGCTGCCAACCCACATCAGCAGGGATGGAGCCATGGAGGATGCTGCCAGCTGGACACAGCGCCCTGCACTGCCTGCAGCCCCGGCAGACAGCCAGGGAGACGGGGGACTTCCCGGCTGACCTTTACAACGGGTGCTCTGGCCCAGTTCACCCCATGCACCCTGCCTTGAGGGTAGCATCCTCCTCCTGATGTCTCAGGAGCTGCAGAAATTTTGTGGATCCTGGGGACAGCCAGCCCCAGCCCCTCTCCCGCTGCATGCTGAGGGCACACAGGGGTGTTTGCACCCCACAAGGCTGCTCCAGCCCTGAGGGGTGGTAAAGCAGGACATGGCTCCTGTTGAAAGGGGGGGAGGCAGGTCGTAAAGAGAACTGGCGGTCTGTATTGCTGTGATCGCCACGGCTCCTCTGTCCAGGCACCCAGCTGGCCCATGGGGAAGGACAGAGCAATCTGGGGGAGGCACAGGGGGTCTCCTGCTGCCTCTGCTAGAGCCTGGGCTCGGGGAGGAGGAGGAAGAGGAGGAAGGAAGGCTGGGAGGAGAGGAGCCAGCTGTGCTCGGCAGGGTGCCCCAGCGAGCAGGGCTCAGCAGCCCAAGGTGCTGAAGAAGGCACTGGCTTCCAGGAGCAGGCCCTTGGCGTAGACGCGCAGGGTGTAGAAGAGGGTGACGAAGTCCTGAGTGCTGAAGAGGGTGTCAGCCAGGGCGAAGGCAAGCGTGGAAGGGATGAAGCCCCGGCCGTACTCCACCATCCAGGTGCCCGCGCTCCACTGCACCGAAGTGGCCTCTCCCGCTTGGTGCACAATGGTGTCCCCTGTCAACACACACAACCAGTATGGCTCCCGGCGGCCGCCCCGCATCACGCCCAAAGCGGAGACATGTGAGATCGCAGGGCTGAGCACCCCAACGCCGCTCCAGTCTCGCTGACTTTTCTCTTACAGGCACCAACTGAGGTGCTGGGATGTGCCCATGGGGACACAAACCGCCCCATCGTGAGCTCCTGGCTTCTGCCAGGCGGAAGGAAAAGGCTCTGTGACAGTAGAGGACCAGCCCGCAGAGTGGCCGTGCCCCAGGACGTGGATGCAGCCCGCAGGGCACCATGGCTGCTGCACTTACCTGGATAGTAGATCTCACTTCTGGTGGTCCCCTCCTTCCACTGCCGGAAGGTCCCCGAGATGACGGTGTCGGTGATATCTGCCCAGTACCGACCTGCGGGAGGACAGACGGCACTGGCTCAGCACGTCCCTGCTGGGGACAGCTTGGGAGCCCAGGTCTGAGCTACAGAGCAGCCCTCCGCAGGTAAGGATGCCCAGCCCCGGGGCCTTGACCCACTGAGGAGCGCAGCTGGGTCTGGCATCCAGGCTGCCTGTGTGACTGGGCATATACCACCAGTCTGGGCTGTTTGGTGTCCTTAAGCCCCATCGTTTCCAGCACGTTTGGCATTCGCTCCCTGCTGAAGCACTGGGCGATGCGATGCCTGCCACCACCTGCCAGCTGGATGCGGAGAGTCCTGGCCATGCGGCATGGCGTGCACAGGGACCTGCAGGTGCTGCAGGACACCACGGGGGCTGGTCCCCACCCAAAGGGTGTTTTCCAGCATTGTGCACCCTGTAGGAGCAGAGCAGTAGGCTCCCTGCACTGGTCACACCATGGCCAGGGTAGCCAGACCTGAATTAAGTGGAGTGCAAAATGCTCAGAGAACCTCCCCCCCAACCCACCAGCCCTGTCCCCCACTTACCCGAGTGGCCCCCAGTGTCAACAGCTGTCCCAAAGAGCAGCACATACTCGGTGAGCGAGGCGTGCAGGAGGCACATGGAGCCCATCCACCCACCTGCGTTCACAAACACCCACTGCAGGTCCTTGTCTGGCAGGATGTGGCCTGGGTGCTTCTTCCGTAGCTCCACAATGATCTTGGAGAAAGCCAGCTCATGGTCCAGCCCTGCAGCACCCGGGGTCGCTGTGAGTCCCTGGCATGAAGCAAGCTCTGCTGGCAGCACCCCCCACCCCCCCCCCCGCCGAATCCCCTCCACAGCTACAGGGTCCCAGCACATCCTTAGAGCCATCTCCCTAGGGAAGATATCTCCTCTCCCCAGCTTTCAGCCCCCGTGGCCGCTGACCTGGCTCCAGTGCCTCCACAGACGGTGATGGCACCGAGCGCTCCAGTCCTACAGCCCACCGCAGGCGCTGGGCAATATGGGGGACCCAAGCAAAGCGACAGTGACCCTGGTGACGTGCTGCCCCCCTACCGCAACCGTACACCCTGTGCCCTACGGGGCCAGCCCTCCCCTCTCCAGCCCTAGTTGAGGGGTTGGTTCTGTCCCTGAACCGCCCGGGGCTTGCTCCCTCGACCTGGCCCAGCCCCGGCACCGAGAGAGCCGCCTCCCCCCCCCGGGGCTCTGCCCCAACCGGGCTGGGTGATGCTGCTGCCCCAGTCCCCATCCCTCCTTCGCTCCAGCCCCACTCCCTCACCCCACTTCCCCCCCGTGCTCCCCTGTCCCCGTTCCCCGGTACCAATCGCTTCCCGATATCGGTCCTGCTGCCCCACGCCCCCCCCCCCCCCAACCGACACCAGTCCCACTCCCCGCCGCGATCCCGGCCCCCCGCCTCTACCGGAACCTCCTCGGTCCCGCGTCCCCGCTGCGGGTCCCTTCCCCAACCCAGGCCGCCGCGCCCGACCCCGGCTCCGCTTCTCGGTCCCGCTCCCTCCCGCCCCCTCAACGACCGGTGGGCCCCGTCGTCCCCACGGGCGGCGCGTACCCGCGTGGTGCCGGGCGAGCTGGGCGATCTCGGCGGGGGTGAACTCGTACCGTTTGGAGGCCAGCCAGCCCCGCAGCCCCTGCAGCGCCAGCGCCAGCGCTCCCAGCGCCAGCCCGGCCCGCAGCGCCCGCCGCCCCGCCGCCGCCGCCGCCGCCGCCGCCGCCATGCCGCCCGCCGCTCCGCTCCTCCCCTCCGCCGCCACCGGAACGGGGAACCGGAGCGGGACCGCGCCCCCCCCCCCCCCCCACTCCGCGGCCACGCCGTGCCCCGGCCGCGGGCGGCCCCTGCGCCGGCGCGGCGGGGCGGAGCGGAGGCTGGAAGGGGCCGGTCCTGGTGCTGCCTCCGCCGCCGGGGCTTCCGGGAGGGCGGCGGGATGGAGCCGTCGCCGGCGGGCGAGGAAGAGGAGGGGGGCGGCCGCCGCTTCCGCGCCAGCGGTACGGCCCGGGCTGCCCCCCTCCAAACCCCCGGCAGAGCCCCGACCGGCCACCGGGAAGCGGGGGCTGCGGGGACCCTCCCTGCTCGCGGTGGGGGTGCAGCGGGGAACCCCCCCCCCCCCCCCCCCACTCCCAGACTGAGACAGGGAAGGGGTGAAGCTGAGCGGGCCATAAAGTGGGGTGCAGGCCCTGTTGAGGGGTCACCCGCGGAGGGGTGGGCGTGGTGGGTGGGGGTTTCCGGCCCGCAGGGTGTGTGCACACACACCCCCCCCCCCCCCCCGTACCTCCCTCCCTGACACCCCACACCTTTCTCCCCACAGAGCACCAGCACGCTCGTTACAACCCGCTGCGGGACGACTGGGTGCTGGTGTCGGCACACCGGGTGAAGCGCCCCTGGCAGGGGCAGCTGGAGAAGCCACCCCCTGAGGATGTGCCCCGCTGGGACCCCAACAACCCTCTCTGCCCCGGGGCCACCCGGGCCAACGGCGAGGTACCACCAAGGACCCTGACACGGGGGCTCCCCTCACCACCCTGTCCTTCCCTGATCCCATCTCTTGCCCCGGCAGGTGAACCCCCAATACGAGGGCACGTTTGTCTTTCCAAATGACTTCCCCGCACTGCAGCCCGATGCTCCCGAGCCTGGTAACTTATGGGGGGAGAGCAGGCTGCCAGGGACCCCCAGGCTTAGGTTCTGGGGGGGCTGCAGGGTAGCCTGGAGAGGCATGAGTGCTGCCCCAGTGCCCTCTCCCTCCACGCTCTCTGTCCCTCCCCAGGTGACAGCGATCACCCTTTGTTTCGAGCTGCAGCAGCCCAGGGTGTGTGGTAAGTACTTCCATGGCTCTGGGGTGTCCGAGCCATGATGTTGGCCAGGACCCGTTGGATGAAGCTGGACGGACCCTGCTTCCCTCCTGTGGTGCCTGTTCTGTGCACTCCTTCTCTATTTTGAGGGCATTCTGGCGGTCTCATCCTTGTCCCCTGTTCCATCGTGCCTGACAGGGCCGTGGGGGTCCCCAGAGACACCCCGCAGTCCCAGCCATGTGTGTCTCCTCCACAGTAAGGTGATGTGCTTCCACCCCTGGTCGGACCTGACGCTGCCCCTCATGTCCCTGGCAGAGATCCGGGCTGTCATCGACGCGTGGGCAGAGCTGGCGGCTGAGCTGGGTGCTTCCTACCCCTGGGTGCAGGTCCGGGGCTGTTGGGGGCTGCCCTTCTCTCCCTGCCCTGGGGGGCTCGGGTGGAGGTGGGGGGCCAGAGCAGGGTGCTCTGGCAACACCTGGGTTTGGGACTGTCCCAGTTGTGTGTGGGCCTCCTGTCCCTACCTCATTCCCCCCCTGAGCCTTTTCAGGTGGGTGTGAGGCTCTGCTCTCCTATGGGATGCTTTCCTGGTGTGCCAGGGACCCTGAGGCTGGGACCTGCTGACTGCACCTCTTCCTCCGCAGATCTTTGAGAACAAGGGAGCGATGATGGGCTGCTCCAACCCACACCCCCACTGCCAGGTGAGGCTGTCCCCCACCCGTGACCTGGCTTAACTGTGAGTTCTACTGAGCGACCCTACAACAAACCCAGGGGGAAGATGTGAACGGGAATCCACCCATCCCGGTCCCAAAGCTTTTTGCAGCAAGGATACCCCCCATGCACGTCGCCCCTGCACCCCTGTCTTGTCACCTCCCCTCCTGGGGACTGTGCCTTGTGGCTGGCACATGTCGGACTCTCCACCTGGTGGCAGCATGGACCTGTGGATGGGCAGTGTGGCTAGGGCACCCCTGCAAATGTGGGGTACAGGTAACCCAGACCTGTGCCCCAATGTCCCTCTCAGGTGTGGGCCAGCAGCTTCCTCCCAAACGAGGCACGCCTGGAGGACCGGACCCAGCGGCAGCACCTCAGCCAGCATGGCGTGCCCATGCTGCTGGAGTACGCCGAGCAGGAGGCTCACCGAAAGGTGAGGACGTGGCTGTTGTTGGTACCCCCTCCCTGGGAGCTAGATATTTGCTGGGGTGGGCCCCCCAGCCCTCAAGAGCAGGGCACCCCAGGAGGACCCATTCCCAGGGTGCTGGGGCTCTGTGTGTCCCCATTAAGCACCGTGTCCCACAGGAGCGGCTGGTGGTGGAGAACGCAGACTGGTTGGTTGTGGTGCCATACTGGGCCACTTGGCCCTACCAGACCCTGCTGCTGCCCCGACGCCACGTCTGCCGCCTCCAGGACCTCCACGAGGGCGAGAGGGACAGTGAGTGGCTCCGCACCTTGTTAACCCCTGTCTCACATTCGTTGGGCTTGACCTTGCAGTTCTGTGGCATCCTGGCTGGTGCTGGAGGGTCCGTGTCCCCTTGGGGTGTGGGGCTTCTGGGCATGGCTTGGGAAGGGACCGGCTCCCTTGTTTTGCTAGGACCAGAGCTGGGCGTCCAGGCACATGCAGTACTGGTTGAGGGGGGGACTAGTGTCCTTTTTGGGGTGATGAAGCACACGGTGGCCTGTACTCTTGGGGTGCCATCTGATGAGGAATGGGGGATCTTCCTGCTGCATTGCTCAGGCTGTCTGCATGGGTGGGGAGGGAGGGAATTGCTGAGTGCATCCCTCCTGCCTGTCACTGATGTCCACCCAGGGTGATCCTGCCAAGCCCAGCATGCTGTCTCCCCTTGGAGGGGGCTGGCCAGCTCGGGGTGTGACTCCCTGGCACTCCCCTGCAGGTCTGGCCTCCATCATGCAGAGGTTGCTCATCAAATACGACAATCTCTTCGAAGTCTCCTTCCCCTACTCCATGGGCTGGCACGGTGAGTGGTGTGGCTGGGTGACACCCACAGCCCTCTCATCGGCCTCCCTGTCCCCTCCTTGGGGCTCACGCAGCGGCTGCACCCCCAACAGGAGCCCCCACGGGCCCCTACCTGGAGGAGGACTGTGGGCACTGGCAGCTCCATGCCCACTACTACCCACCGCTGCTCCGCTCCGCCACTGTCCGCAAGTTCATGGTGGGCTACGAAATGCTGGCGCAGGCACAGCGGGACCTCACCCCGGAGCAGGTGAGCGCAGCTTAGGAGGGGACTGAGGGGAGCCAGGGGGTCCTGGACCAGGGCCATCCCCCAGACTGGCTGCTGACCGCCCCTCGTGCTGTGCCCCGCAGGCAGCCGAGCGCCTGAGGAGCCTCCCTGAGGTGCACTACAAGCAGAGGACGAAGGAAATGTCATGATGGGGAGCAGCAGAGTCAGCCCTCGGCTGTGCTTGGTGAGGCCGGGGAGAGGAGTCAGCTGAGGGGGGTGAGAGCTGAGGCCTGGGAACTCAGGTCACTTGTGAGATTTCCAATCTCCCAGATTCTCCAGAGCCTTATTGCAGCTTGGGGACTGGCTTCGCCTGTTTAGTCCTAATCCTCTGGCATCCTTGTACAGGCAGTGCTGTTTCTTCTGTCTCCTTGCCCATCCCAGGCTGCGTCTTCTGCCTCTGCAGTGTGCTCCTGCCACCATTTAAGGGATTTACCCTCCTTACCCATCCATTCTTACTGGTGGGCCTGGGAGTGCTGCCTGCCCCGTGGAGGGGCACAGCACCCCCTGGCCAATAAAACCTGGAAGCAAAGTGTCTCTGCCCGTGCCCACATGGCTCTCAGCTCTGGGTGGGAGTTTTTGGGGTCTCTGGTGGGGATTCCCAATTACTTGGGGAGGGATAACACCGGGGACTTCAGGGGATGTCTAGGCAGCCCCATGCTGCTTGCTGTTCTCCCTGTCTCTGCGTTGCCTCCTCTTCCTCCCTGGGGGGAGCTCTGAGCCTGTCTCAGCGCCGCAGGCCCGGGGAGGAGTGGGAAGCGGGGAGAAATTGATGCCGCCCGATATTTAGCCAGCCACTGGAAGAGAGCTGAGGCCTGGCAAGCTTGCTGCATGGAGGAGATGCTCATTCCTGAAGCTGCTCCTCTCCCTCCTCTCTATCTGGGGCTGCTGGGCTGCAGCCCTCATCCTGCTGGCTGCTGGTACTGGGGCTGCTGCGATGCAGCAAGAAGCTGGTTCATCGCTGGCCTGGGGGCTGCCAGGAGGTCCAGCTTTGCTCACGGTACTTCTGCCCCCTTTCCTCTTCCCTCTGCCCACCCATGGCATGGGGCAGCAGCAGTTTAGTCCCTGGGCTGAGCTGAGGGATACTGAGAGCTCTGTGCTCCCCCCCTGTGCAGCCCTTTACCCGAGGGAAGCCCCAGGGCTGTGCAAGGGTGGGTCCTGGACAGTGATGAGGGATGCTCAGTGCCATTTGCCGTCACATCTTCACACAAATAGTTTTTATTTGTCACTAAAGAGCCGTTCTCATAACTCCTTAATGAGGCCCATATCCTTGTTAAGTCTGTGAGTCGGCTCCTGAGGGCTAGAAATATCTTTCAAGGAGAGAAATGCTCTCCTCCTACCTACAAGACAGCAGTTTGTGGGGAGGGCTCTGCCGCTTCTGTGCATTGCTCCCCCATACCTACCTATGGGGCAGGGAGAAGAGCCTGGCTAGCATGAGGCTCAGAACCAGGCTGGATGTGGCCCTCCTGCATGCTGGCTGCATCCTCCCTGATCACCCCATCCCGGAACCTACAAGCCAGCCCACCACCTGGCCTCAGGGCTCCCCAGGTGCCCACAGGTTTTGGGGAAGGAGGCGGTGGGTTCAGGGGTGACCCTTGAGGTTGAGCCGTCATTGTATGGAGCATCCCCCCACATGGCATGGGAGGTGCCCAGCTCAGAGTCTGGCCTCTTGCAAACTGATTTCTTCCCTCCTGGGACAGGCAGTGTCTGAGCTCTCCAGCCATCCCCATCGCAGTCCCCATCCTTTCTCGTTGCAACAGGTGCCTTCGTGTCAACCTCTGAACTTCCCCGCTTGGAAGAGTTTTTTTCCCTTAGGGCCCTGAAAAAGGCGGCAATGAATTGGCTTAAATGTGGGGATCCAGATTGGGGTAATTAGCCGCTGAACCAGTTGTAACGAAGCTAGTCATCTCCCTCCACGCACAGTTAGCTCTGATTTAATAGCCCACCGGCTCCCAGCCCGGGCTGCAGCGCCTCGGCCCAGGGCCGTAAATGAAACTCGCAGTAAGTCAAGCGGTATTAAACTTTACAGTCGCCGTCTTTAAAAACGAGACTCTCTCTCTAATAAATCAGAGCAAGTGGGATTGTAAATATCGAGGCAGGATCCATACTGCTTAATTAAACAGTGCCTAATGAACAGCCTGTTTGTTGTGTTGTGATTTAGGATGGAGGCTGGGGAGACAGTGCATGGTGAGGAGCTCTGGTACCCATGCTGGGATGCCCTCCCCAGCAGGTAGCAGCTGCTGGAGTTTAGCTGCTGTTAAAATAGCTCAGAGACAGCCTGAGAATTTTTTTTTTTTTTAAATAAAAAATGTTCCCCCCCCCCATATGAAACATTCAGGGTGGGAGTCAACAGCAGGTGGAGGAGGAGTGGGGGTACAGCCGGATGTGAAAGCTGAACAAACCCTGACCATGCTGAGCGCCCTGGTTCCTCATGACAAATCCACCTTCTCTTGCCCTGACATTTTTAGCATGTGCAAGAAGGGGGTGAAAGGCTGGAAGGGAGCAATGATCCTTTCCTGTGGCTTGGGGAGGCATTAGGCTGGTGTGAACAGAGCTGCTGGGGATGCAAAGGCATTGCGATTCATAGGAATCATCGCTGCCATGCTGTAAAGCCCTGAAGCCTTTTATATTTTGGTAGTTGCAGTCCAGTTGTAATCAAAAAGTGATTTATTGTGAGGAGATTAAAAACATCTAGCTGGGTGCAGGATGGTGGAGTGGAGTGACTGCGGGGCACCCAGCTGCTGCACCTGGCCTGGGGGCACCAAAGGGAAACTGAGTCCCGTTGGGATTCCTTGTGGGGATGTGCATTGATGCAGTTTCACTTCTGCAGGGGAGCTGTTGGAGATCATCCTGGGAAAAGTATCCCTATGATGGAGTCACCCTTCTCCTGAGCCCCTGTCCCCCAGCGTCAGGACAAATACATCCTCCACAATCCCTGCCCTGAGCTGCTCTGGAAGGATGAGCAAGGCAGGCGATGGAGGGAGTGAGGGGAGCCGAGACAAAGCTGAAGCATGGAATTAATGCATTAAAAATGCATCGAGGTTCCATGGAGGTGTTTGCTGCCTCTGTGGTGCATTAATATGGCTGTGAGGGATTAGGGGGGGGGGCTGTGGGTGTTTCTGCACTGGTCCAGCATGTCCTGCAGACTGCAAGGAGCAAGGGATAAGCCCAGCAGGGGATGCAGAGACGCAGAGATGCTTGAGGGGGGATGGCCAGGACTTTAGTCTTGTTTCCATCCCATTTTCTGATGCCACTGGAACAGTTCAGTCAGTCTACCAAGGGATGTGGTTTCTGCAGAGCTGCTGGGGCTTTGGCTTGACTGAGACAAACCAGTGGGTTCACCTGGGTTGTAGCAGTGTTTGTCTCCACTGTCGCCCTTGTCCTGTGTGTTTGGGAGACCTAGAGCATCCGCAGCTCTGACACTGATTCCTTCTATGGCCATGGACAAGTCCTGGGATGCCACTCCAGGGTGCTTCCCTGCTGCAGAGACCCTCTGGCATGATTACTCAATGATGGAGGGTAACTGCTGGAGGGAGGTTCATCACCTTTGATTATGTGTCCGTGTGTGTGTCCTAGGCAGCTGCCAAAGGCTGCAGAGCTGCTGCAGATCCCAAGCCCCCAGTCCTGCCCACCCCTCTTCTTCTCCTCCTTGCCTTCCAGCGCAGGTGAGACAATAAATATCGAGCAAAGGAAGTTAATCTGTGACCAGAGTGTTTTAATCAGAAAAAAAAGGGTATTAGTGCAGGCCTGCTGGCTCCTGCCAAACTGCAGTTTTACTGTCCCTCCAAGTACTGGGTTTATGGCTGTCATTTCATTCCAGTTTTACTGTTGGTTTTGCCCTTATCATTGAGTTTCTCCTTGCTTGCTGCTGCCTGTGACTGAATGGTGCTTTTAGGAACATAATAAGGAAGAAATTAGTAAATTTTTAGGGAGGAAGAAGGGAAGGAAGGGAGGAACCAAGGGAGGGAGGCAGACAGGGAAGAAGAGAGGGAGGAAGGATGAAAGGAAGGAGGAAATGGAGAGAGGAAGGAAGGAGAGAAGGGACAGAAGGCTAAATCTCTCCTGTTTCTATCTAAAAGACACCATCAGGCATTTAACAGCAAAATAATTAAAAATTTTAAACGAATGCTAAACACCCTGGTGCCCTGCAGCAGGCGGCTCTGTTCTGCGGGGAGATTTGCTATGCCAGAAGAATGAAAAACAAAACCCAAACCCCTTTTAGATCTAGGCTTAGATGGACACGCAGGAGCATGGAAGCAACCTTTGGGGCAGCAAACAGCAAGCAGCTTGTCCTGGGCTGCCTGGAGCATCTCCCCTGGGTTTGGCAGCTGCCTTGGCTGAGACCAGCAGGAAACAATTTTGGAGGTGTCTTGCCCATGCCCTAGCTAGCTGGTGTTTTTCCCTCAGCTGATGGTCACTAAGACCTCCCTGCAAGGCATTTTCAGAGCCCTTGGGAACCATGTGTCATAGGAGGGCTGCTGGTCCCAGATGGACACAATGAGATGTCTGGCTGCTGCCTGCCAGCAGCAGAGAGCCATGGGCTCTGCATGGGCTTTAGGACAGCAACCCCAGGGGTGAAATGTACTCTGTTAATCACATGAGCCTTGCAGGTAATTAAATACCATCACACTGCAGCATCCACATAGTCACTAAGCAGTGGATTCCCCCAGATTCCCCCAAATTTCCAGCATACTTGAGTTTGGGGACATACCTTGGCGTTCGATTCTCAGAAGTGGGAACCTGCCATTGCATGTGTTTTTGAGCTTCTCTCCATCCTGGCACCCCATCCCCAGGTCAGGAGCCTCTGTTTAGAGCAAGAGGAACACTGGTAGGGTCCAGATTCCCACTAGATTCAACCCAAACACAACGAGATGGGGAGGGGAACAGACATAGATGGGAGTTCGGGGGACTGGTCTGAGCTAGGGGAAGATGACACATTTGACCACAAAAATGGGATATCCACCAGCGGGAGAGATGCTGGGAGAGGCCATGAGCCCTTGCAGTGCCCAAGATCAGTGTGAAATCCACCTGGCTCCTGGCAGGGTTGATACTGGGCACCTTGGCTGTGCCTGGCACCCTGCTGCTGCCGGAGCCAGCTGTGAGAGCTCACAACCATCTGTGCCTGCCCTGTGGCCACGGTGAAGGAGGGATCCCCCTTTGTCCTGATGTTCCAAAAAAGGAAGCCATAAATCAGTGCTAATTATGTTCAGTGGTGCTAAGGAGTCAGTAAAAAAGTCCTTGGATCAGGGAGACATCTTAATGCCAAGATGGATCCAGGGTGGAAAGTCATCCCCTGGGCACAAGGTGACTCTTGGAAGAGGCAGAGCCCTTGAGAGAGTAGAGGAGGTGGAGATACTCTAATTAGATGCTAATGAGAATGTCATTAGTAAGTGTCCAGCCTGCCCAGTACTTTCAGGCTCCCTTGCCCACCTCCAAGCCAAACCACCTGCTTCACTGCACCCAGGGTGGTTTAAGCCCTACAGGGTATGGCCGGAGCTGGGATGAGCCAGCTGCTGCTACCCACACATGCTGCCACGCTCGATGGCAATAAAACATCCTCATAAGTTATCCCCATGAAACAAAATGTGACAGATAAAAGCCAAAAGTGCATTTGCAGCCTGTTTGATTTTGGTGTTTAATCCCCTGCTTATTTTGCTCACAATTGTTTATCAGTCATGGCAGCTCATCCGCTCCCTCCCAGTTACATGCTGAGGCAGGGAGGCAGCACTCCTGGGCTGCCTGTGTTGTCCCTGTGGGCAAGTTGCTGCCTTTCCTTGTGCCTCAGTTTCTCCATGTCTCAAGCAAGATCAACAACACAGACGCCAAACCCTGTCCACCTTGGCTGACCAAGCAGTAGGAGCCCCTGTGCCAGCCCTGCAGATGCTCCTGGGCTGTACGAGGTCCAGTGTGACACCCCCAGTCTGACACCCTTGCAGCTTGAACCTGGCTCCATCCCACCCAGCATGAGTCTTGAGGACACAAGAAAAACCTTTTCCAGCTCTGGGGCTGGCTGCTGCACTGAAACAGTGCTGCCCAGCGAACTGCTGGGTTTGTGCACCCAAAGTGCTGGTGCAATATTTAATTCACACAATATTTAAAAAAAAAAAAAAAAAAAAAATTAAAAATTGAATTATCACATGGGTGGGAAACGGATAAGGATGAAACTAGGATGGGTATCCAGGATGTCAGCTCGCTTTTTAACCCTTCTCATCCTGCTTTCAGATTCCCCTGGGGACCAGAGGTGCTCAAAAAGCGTCCGTCTGGTTCCAGCTGCTTCCACTGTGCTTCACTAACAGCAAGGCCCTGCTCTGTCTCTGCCTGACAGCCCCCCTCAGAAGTAGGCAGTACATTGGCACAGCAGAAAAGAAATGACCCCCAGCCTTTGCCAGGGTCTATAATTCCACCCACCACCACCACCACCACCCCCCACCCCCCCCCCCCCCCGAGGACTAGCCAATGCATCGTGGACTTGGAATGATTATGATAAAACCTGCGGGACACCAAGGGCATCACTATGATTTGTGCTGTCTGAATGTTAATCAGAATAATAATGCCTATTGAGACAGCTGTTTTAAAAGGCTGTGATGTCGGAGTAAAAATTCCAATAAAACTCTATTAGCCCTTCCTCGTTACACTAATGGTGCCTGCTGCTAAAAGCCCCCTGCTATAGACACTCGTATTAATGGGCTTATTACAGGAAATAAAATCCGAGGCTGAACATTACAGTGAAGCCTGATTAATTCAGCAAGGTAATCTTTTTTTTCTTCCCCCTCCTCTTTCCCTTTTCTTTTTCTCCCCCCCTTTTATTTAATGAATGTGCTCCTTGAAGTGCCAACTTTTGAGCTTCACTTGGAGTTTGGTGATGATTTTAAACTTATTTTGTTCACAAAGAGATGAATCTTTGCACCAGCTCCTGGTGCAAATGGGGGGAAAGGCTTCTCAGATGCCTTTATCAAACCAGGGAAGAGAGGAAAAGCAGCCAGGCCAGGAGTGAAGGTGCTAGGGAAGTGGGGGCAATGGATATCCCATGATGGTCTCGGTGTGGTGGCTCGCAGACTGGGACACCCTGTTGCTTGTCCCCATGCAGTTGTGTGGTGACACTGGGCTGGACAAGCAGCCACCCTTCCCTGATCT